AGTACAGAGAAGTGGGATATGTCCCTGTGGCTAAAGCAAAGACCTAGCAGTTAGCTGAAATGATGAAATTAGAAAAGGTAAACTGTAGACAGATTGTGGGAGGCTCAGACAGTTTGTGGAAGGCCTGACCCAGCGGGTTGGATTTTATTTCACTGTTGGAGCATTGAGAGTTATTTTTAAAGAAGGAGGTAAAATGACTTGGCCTTCAGAAAAATAACACAAGTCCAATACAGTCACCATGATGAGGTAATGGGAAATACTCAGGTTTTCTTTTCTTTTCTTTTTTTTTTTTTTCAGTACTAGAGATTGAACCCAGGGCCTCACACATGCTAGGCAAGCACCCTACCACTGAGCTACACCCCAAGCCCTTAGGTTTTCTTTAAGTGTTTAAAGTTTCTCAAGTCACTTTAATGTGTTTGCTGTTACTGCATAATTTCCCACATGTGTTCTCACTTATTGTTACTGCAAGCACATGTCAAAAATAAATAAATAAATAAATAAGAAAAAAGTCAGGTAAAAAGAAATGGAATATCCAACAGTTGTGATAGTTCTGGTCTCAACAGAAATGAGACTAAAATTACTAACACTCTTCCAGGAGGAGAACAGAACAAACAGCAGCAGGAGGAGGAGCAAGAACAGAAAACCTGTGAGGGTGGCAGTGAAGAGACCTGAGCTGGGGACCACATTTTGTGGCTGTAGAAGTCACTGTCCTCCATAAGATACCACGAGGTAGTTGGATGTCATCTTTCCTGACAGAGTCACTGGAGAAGACAGTCCTTTTCTCAAGCAGACACACTGTCAGGACAGATCAACTGCCATCTTCTAGGGGTCTTCTAGTTGGCTCACTAAGGCCCCCACTGGCACACAACATGCAATGCTCTGTGATCCCTCAAGGAAGGCTGCGGATATGACATCTCATAGACTCAGGTTTGGCCCTGCTATGCTACCATCAGCTGTGTCTCCCCAACTCTTTGGTCCCCCTAACCTCCTGGGTCAAACAGCAGGTTCCTAATACTTCTAAATGGCGATGATACTGTGATGCTTATGGAACTATGGACATCAAGCTTTTGGGGAAGGAGTGGAAGGGGGTTCTGCTTTTAGACACAGGTATTAAAACTGCTTCCTGTTGCTCTGCTAACCAAAGCAAGTAATTTCTCATTAGTCACTTCGCAGGGAGAATCAGTGGTGTTTGCTAAAGTGTCAAAACCTCACTAACAAACACACTTACCATGGCTGAGGGAGAGCTTTATCCATGCTCTTTTCAACATGAAAAATTTAATAAACTAGTACATAAAACTTTTTAAAATAAGGAGATGCTGTGGTAGTACCTGTAGTCTGAATCATATATCTGTTTGGGGGGAAAGAATGAAAACAAGAAAGAAGGAAATGCAGACATGTAGTCATTTTCCTCTTCCCTCCAGGATAGAAATCTGGCCTCCATTTTGAGCCAAGTACTTAAGATTGGCCTAATTTGGAGTCTAGCCAAGCAAATTCATAATAGGACAACAACAGTGAGAGAAAGGCAATCTCCTGGAAGGGTTAGGAGGCTAAAAGTAAGCTCCTGGTGTCCTTTCAAAAGAACTAAACTGTTCTGATGCCATAAAGATGCTGTTTTCTGAAGGATGTGTGTCAATGTATTTCCTATTAGACACAAAGTGATACAAGATTTCTTGAGGATTTTTTTTAAGTTTTGATTTTCTCTTGGTTGGGCAATTTGATTTTACTCTTACCTGTTAATAACAGAGTTTTCATGTTTCCAAACATACTTAAGACTTAATCTAATAGGTCGCTCTTCTTCAGATCATCTCTTAATAGATAAAAAATGCTACCTACTGGTAATCATCTCTAGCCTGCTGGGAAAGTTGCAGGCTGACCTGATGGTATAATTTCACCTTTACCCTCACAGTTCAACAGGTCAAGGAAGACGAGGCTGGTCTGAGAGCAGAGCAGCCGTCAGCAAGGATTAAAAGGGGTGACTCATTCTGGCTTCACACCTCCCCCATTGCCATTTCCCTGGCAGCTGAGCATTTTCAGAAAATGGTGCCTTGGAGAGGAAATGTAGGAGAGGGAAGAGGGGAAAGATTAGTCCCACGTGTTCTATGTCACTTCATCTCTGACACTGCATAGTGCCACAGATAATGTTCTTTTCCCTTCCTGTGACATCACTATTTTTTGTCACAAAGGCTATTTCAATTAAATGATTCAGGGGGTTCTCCAGAAAAAAAAATCTCTCAAACAATAGTTTAGGATATAAATTAATGCTAGAAGATTAGAACAGTGCTCAGGAACAAGAACACCATGTATCTGACAGGAGTCTGATGAATAAAGGACATAAGAGCAAACAAATAAGAGATACCTATGTGCCCTGAGTAAAATATATGAATGGTGAGTTAGTACTACTGTTTTTCTTTTCTTTTTTTAGATTCTCAGATTAAATAATATCTTCCTAAATTTTTCTTTTCAAACTTTAAAGGCTGGGAGTATAGCTCTGGGATAGAGCATTTACCTAGCATGCTCGAGGCCCTGGGTTCAATCCCCAACACCGTGAAAAACACAACAACAACAACAACAACAAAATCCCAACAAAACACCTTCAAACATGAGATATGGTTCATGACATGAACCCCCGTCTATATAGGAAAGAAATTACCTGAGGTCATACACAGGCCCTATAATACAAAGTGGTATTCCTAAATGTTGTCTTAGATTTCTTCTCTAAGTCATGCCACAGACTTGTAGATGAGAGAGGCCTTCATGATCATTTCATTACCTATTCGGTCTTTCCATTTCACAGATGAGTGAACAGCAAGGTTATGTGATTTGTCTAAACATACAGTTAAGAAATGATAGGTCTAGAATGGAGCTTGGGTCTTCTGACTTCTAATCTGGCTTTTCTGATTGAGCTGTATCAGAATTTACCAACCAACCAACAACGTCCCCAGTTATTCTGGGACCTGAAGCCCTGAACTTGTCACCTAAGCTGAAATCAACAGCTCACTTTACCCAGTTTCTGATTCTAGCACCGAGTAGAAATCAGCACCTTCAGAGTCAGCAGCATCTCCTGTGAGACTGGAGGTGAAGGAGCAAAAATGCTGCTGTCAAATGGTGAGAAACAAACGGGATGGATCCCTGAGATGACGAGCAGAACCCTGTGGACCCCACACAGGAAACAAGCTGTGTTTTTTAACCCATGAAAATACCAAAGCAGGCTGAAGCTGTAGTTCAGTGGCAGAGCGCTCACCTGGCATGTGTGAGGCACTGGGTTCGATCCTTAGCACCACATAAAAATAAATAAAGGCCTGCTGTCCACCTACAACTAATAAAAAAAATTTTAAAAAGAAAATACCAAAGCAACTTTTATTTTAGTAAGCAGGGCTTTAGCTCAACTATACATTTAGGGCAGCTATGAGAACTAGGTGCCCTCTCTAATATTTTAGTTCTCTTGGATCAACAGGCATTGGCCAAAACTGGATTAAAATTAAGATGCTTTACATGGGGTTTCCTTGCTTACTTCTCCCCCAAGTCCCTCTCCATACCAGCTTCAGCCATTACTGGAGTTAAAAACTTTCCCCAAATTAAAATACACTCATGCCGTAGAAAAACAATTCAAGCTTTCTTTTATATGGCAGTTGGAAACTCTTCATATAAGGTCAAAAGACAAACAAGCAATGATTTAAGACAATGACTTAAACTCACAACAGAATTTCCTCTGACATTTCTCACCAAGGGGAGAGAAAGCAGTAAGGAGGAGGGAGTCTCCCTAAACTGGAATACACCAAATTTTTTTAAAAAATATGTTTTGGTTTTCAGTAGACATTTATTTTTATTTATTTTTGTGCAGTGCTGAGAATCAAATCCAGTGTCTCACATACGCTAGGCAAGCACTCTACCACTGAGTCACACCCCAGCCCTGGAATATACCAACTTTAATATGGCAATTTATTTCAAAGTGATTAAAATTGTACAAAACCTTTTAATTAATAAAAATAAAATAAGCAGCAACACCAAGTCAGGTAATTTTGAAATATATGGGTTCTTTCAGTATACTCTACAATTCACATAAAATGCTTGTAAAAATTTAGTCAGATTGAAAAACCAGGCAGGCCCTTGTCTCCATAAAAGTTACTGAAAAGAATAAACGTGAAAGGACTGAAGTAGGAAATCAACAGCAGCAAGCAGCTTTGGAGAAGATATTGTCAGGTTTCTAAAATATTTTTGTGTTGAAGAAGGTCTATTTTCGTGTGATAACTATTTTTATTCAATATCACCAATTTTCAATTTGTAACAAAACTGATATATTCAGTTCATCCATCTACTTCCCAACTACATATCTATTTTAAATATCATGTATACAGAAACATCTGGAAGAGTCCAGCAAAATATCTCTGCCATTTGGAAGTTCTAACACTTTAATGAACATAAATATTTCTCAGTTGTTTCATTCTGCTGTAGTTTTTGACAATGTGAAAACCAATGGCATAAAAATTAATTTCAGTAAGACAAGTGATTAAATCAAGCCATGTTATTTAAATCTATGTTGCCCAGTCACTTTCCCTTAAGACCAATTCTCAAATTCAAGAAAATATGACAATATGTTTCAGAGAATGAACAAAGTTTGAGCATGCAAGCAGAACCAACTTATAACATGTAATTACAAAAATGCTATCTTGAACATCTTGTTGGTGTAAGTTGCATAAACTCATGCAACATATGTCATTCAGAGTGAAGAGGAAGGAACAGCATTTTAAATACCACCTCCATTTAGGAAACTGGATAACAAATGCTCCCATCTTCTGTTGATAAGATTCTTCAGTTAATATCTTTTATTCTATTTTCTAGAGCCATCCAAATGAATCACACCAAATAAAAGTGTACAATGGAAAATAAGTACCTTGTTTTAACAGAGGTTAAATTAGAAGGGCCTGTGTTAGTAAGCATCTATATGTTATCTCATTCAAACTATCTGCTAACAGCAGCAGGAAAAAGATTTGTATTCTTACCAATGAATTTCTGAGGCATTGAGCTTTTTCGTTTTGCCACATTGCTTGCTAATCTGTCCAGAACGAGAGCTCTTTCACTTCCCATCTCTGCTTTGATGTGTCTTGCCTCCGCACTTGCTGGTTTGGAGAAAAATAAGAGGGAAAAGAACACGCTGGTAAGTGGGAAGAAAACAAAATCAGCTGGTGTCTATGGTCTGTTGTCGTTACCTGTTATTACTGCTCAGATTTCTGTCGGGGGTACTTGGCGTGGTCAGTGAGGCCGCCACCAGGGCACATTCAAATTTTGCAGTCTTATGCTGAGATGGGAAAGCCCTACCCATCCCCAACCAGTACCTTCATTAGCAAGAGGAAGTATTGAAGAAACAGCCTGGACGTGGTTGGTTACAAAAAGATAGATGGAGATCTTCTAACCCCCATCAGTCTTCTTTCTGATTCTGAGTAACTGCGTGTGACACCTGCACACTGATATAATTCTTCTTAACAACTTTGAAAAAAAAATGGTGCCCCAGATTTACTGCTCTGTTTATGTTAACAGCACTTTTGAAAATAGACACACTCACCCAGATAGCAAGAAATCTACTCAGTGATTTGTATATTGAAATTCTGAGTGTTTTTTTTTTCTCAGCATTCTCCTCTCAGTTTCTTTCAAATTCTATTTCTCTGGGCTCTGCATGATCTGTTTCATATGCTCTTCCCATTTCAAAACTGTCTCAAGTTAAAATTTCCCTGAGCCCCACTGCTTTAATGAAATTCAAGAAAATTTTCTATAATGAATTTCTATTATATTTCTAATGAAAAAATGTAAATTAAAAACTGCTAAGAATGAGGGATAATTGCCCATACATAAATAGACATTTGAATGATACAGGCCTGCATTTCCAGCTCTGGCTGCACAGCATGATCACCTGAAGCACGGGTAAGAAATATCTATGTCGACCCCTCCCCAGATTAACACGAACAGGTGCTCTGGAAGAGAGGTCTAGGCAACAGCATTTTCAAAGCTTCCCAGATGATTTTAAAATGCATCCAGAATTACATACCACCAGAAGAGTATATAAGTAGTACCTATATCTAATTTACTAAAACTAAATTGGAATAAATATAATTTACCTTGGTACAGCAGGATTACCCAAGAAGACCGCATATGTAAGGTTCAGAGATACTAGCATCTTTAAATATAAAGCTTAAAACTTTTGCACATGAGTCTAGCCTGAGCCAAAGAGTAGCAAACTATTGCAATTAAAAGCTAGATAGTAGATATTTTAAAAATTGTCTTTGTCAGGGCTGGAGTTGTGGCTCAGTGGTAGAGCACTTGCCTGGCATTTGTGAGGCCCTTAGTTCAGTCCTTAGCAGTGTATATAAATAAATAAATAAATAAATAAATAAATAAATAAATAAATAAATAAATAGAATAAAAAATCCATTTACAACTAAAAATTATTTTTTTAAAAATTATCTCTGTCCTATATTCTTGGGTGAGTTTCTGCCCTATGTCCCTTTAAACATGCAAAATCCCTGTATGAAAACAGGTTTCTGGCTGCATTTGGCCAGAAGGCCATAGCTTACCCACCTCTGCCACACACTGAAGTATTGTGATAGTGTAAGCATTTCTCTCTGTTTTACCTAAGCATTTCAGGAAATCCAAACTAAAAAGAAGTATCCATACACCTCTAATGTGTTTAAAGAAGAAGATATTAAAATTAGTTTAAGGGACTAGAATAAAAAGCAAGTGATGACTGCAGAATGGAATCTCCTACCCAACCCTGTGCCTAAATAGAGAGGTTCGGGAACCATCAGGGCCTGTTCTGTAGTTGAAGAGTACAGTGTGTTTGCAGTGTGAAGAGATTTTCAGTTGTAGATGGACACAATACCTTTATTTTATTTTATTTTATTTTAATTTTTAATGTGTGTCAGGGAAGATATTTTGATACACAGAAATAATGTCACAAATTCCATGGTCTATCAGACATTCAGGACTACAAATGCACATATCCAGAGAGAACACTGGCTCCCTTTACAGTCAGTGAATTACAGGGAAAGATCTTCAGGGCAAGACTGTCAAGCATGGCTACAGTAAGAACCTAAACAAAATTAGAAAAAGAATTATTGTTCATTTTATTATTGGCATTAAAAATAAACTCTAGGAGCTGGGGTTGTGGCTCAGTGGTGGAGCGCTGACCTAGCAAGTGTGAGGCGCTAGTTCACTCCTTAGTACCATGTAAAAAAAAATAAATAAATAAAATAGAGGTATTGTGTCCAGCTACAACTAAAAAAATATTTAAAAAATTAACTCCATGCCAGTCATTACACAAGACATTATAAAGCTCAGTGCTTTGTTTTGTTTTGTTTTTAAATTCAGGAATAAGAGGAAATCTGACTCAAAAAAGAATAAAGGAAGAGACTGGTGGCAATGACAATATTTAACTGGGCTATGTGAGTTTCTTGTCAAAAATAGTTCCAGGCTCTAAAGAAATAAATCTCCAGTCTATGCTATTAACAACTGTGTATGTAAATGAAAACAATAAGGGTCAGAATAAGGGGCCTGGGCAGCTAGCTTCTGGACTAGTGGCAGAGTAGTTAGTTGGTCTTTAGCACTTGGGCACAGGACACTGCTATTGAGTGAAGTGGATCGAATTCTGTCCGGCCTGGGGATAAGTTTAAATGACCAAACAGGAAACTATTATATATACTATTTCCTTTCACACAAACCACCACCAGATGTGGCAGTACCCAAAGCCCCAAAAGCAGAAAGATGAAAGCCAAAGCCTGGAATTTGAAGTAAGTCCTTGCTGTTGTCACAAAGAGATGTCTCCTTAGAAGCAGAGGAGAAGCTCCTCAGTTTGTGCTTTGATTAGGAACCTTCATTCTGGTTTGAGCAATTCTAAGAGGATTAAATCCAAGTAAAACTGCTTGCTACCCTGTATTTGTTATAAAAAATGAAATGGGAATGAAGATCAGTACTTTGGGAATGTTCACCCATCACTCCCCACTGTACCACTGTTCTTATAGGCCCCTGGCCAGATCACTGCCTAGGACTTACCCCAAGCATTATTCTGCCTGCCTCATCTCCCCATTTGCCTCTCAGCAGTCACTGCCTACATTTACCAGAGTCACTATCAATGATAACAAGCAACTTTCTGAGGACACGTAATCAACATCCTTTACATTGGGGAGGGTGCTGAAATGTGGACACATTGACCTAAATAACAGTAATTAGGGCATGTCACTAAATGGCAACCTTCTGAGATAACATCACCTTATATTCCTGGTTACCCACCAAGCTGCTCTTAACAGTCGTTTTCCAGATAAATCTTACTCTGTAAATTGGTGACCAAATGCCTGACATTTAAGAAAATTAAATTCCAGAGTGTTCATGGGTGGATAGATAATTTAAGGCATGGTTAGAGACTTCTCCATTTCCACAACTCTGAAAGAAATCCTCTGAAACTAATCTAGGACCCCCCACCCAATTCACTTGCACCCTCTCTCTGAATTGATCACTTAATACAGCACCTCTAAGATCCCAACCCTCAATGTACACTGGAATACACACTGGGGATCCAGTTCCTTCACAAAGTTAGCTATTTTCTAACTGGCAAGTTAGGCAACAGCTCATTTTCAACTGAATATGGTGTGCTATCATTTTTTTCCCTAAGTGTCAAGTCTTTTGCCTTGAAATTGTCGGACAGCTGATTCACAGAACCACCACATGAGCACCCTTTAAGAACACAAGGAAATACTTTGGACTGGACCACCTCTTTGGGATTGCACAGGGCAGTACAGTGCACTGAAAATACAAACAAAAGAGGGCTATTGGCTTTTGGTCCTCTGCTCCAACTTCAGGACCCAACTATTTATACAGTCTAGACCTGCTATCTCACCATATCACCTCTTAGAAATGTAAGTGAAGGGAAATCAGTTTGGCAAGAAAGTAAGGGAACAAGATAATGGGTTTAAATGACGAAATAGGAAATCCGTTCCTGGGTGGTGTTTGGTGGTTTAATGTTGCAAATGGTGGGTGTGGGGAATATGGGATGATAGCAAGGAACAGTTTGCACACTTGGTTCTCAAATGCGCACAGAAGGAGTAGAAGAGCAACTCTGGATCAATTTCCCTTTATCTCACTTGCCTAGTATATAGTGGATATAATAATTTTCATTTGCAAAGCGATTTTGAAGACACGTTGAAAAACAAATAGTAAAATGTGACATAAAAATCACTACCTTTATTCACTTCATAAGCTTTTATAGTTTGGTTGTTAGTTAACTGTTTCCATGATGCAATTTCTATATCAAAGTGATTAGAGATTTAACTATATAACGGTGTTGTACTTTTGTTTTTGTTCAAAATCAATCATTAGGTCTTTAAGTGTTAAATGGAGCTTAAATAAGAGGCATTGCTTCCTGTCTCTTCTATGGTGTGGTCAGTCTCATAGAGAGTGGAACAAAGGGGTGCTATTGTGCAATAAGAATTGTCTAACAAGAGATTACTATCAAAGGCTGAGGCAGGTTCTGACAAAAAATGTTACATAAAACTGTTGCCTTTTTGAGTAAGGAAAATGAACACAACTCATGAGATATCAATTGGAAAATAGGCAAGTTTTTAAGAACTTTGTTCTTTGTTCTGCTACAGTGGTAAAAACACAAATTTATTCTGAAACCCTCATGTTTGCAACAGCTCTTTTGGAACAAGGACAGTGAAGATGGAAAGTCTGACTTATGGATTCATCCATAAATGTAATTATTCGATTACTTTAAAAATCTTAAAGCAATCTGGAACTCATTGTTACACAAAAATATGTATGAGCCCAATTTGTGTGGAATGAGATTCATTTGAATCTCCATACCAATTATTGGTCCCTTGAATTAGTGATCGAGCTAATAAGAAAATCAAGTCTAGGGCTGAGGATGTGGTTCAAGCGGTAGTGTGCTCGCCTGGCATGCGCGGGGCACTGGGTTCGATCCTCAGCACCACATAAAACTAAAATAAAGATGTTGTATCCACTGAAAATTTAAAAATAAATATTAAAAAAAATTCTCTCTCTCTCTCTCAAAAAAAAAAAAAATCAAATCAAGTCTTCCAGATTTTTTTTTTTCTTCTGGCCATATATACTCTATTAAGACAACAGAACTGGACTATTTTGATGGCGTCACTTTGATGTCCAGTATAGAAACTTGGGCTGAAGTAGCAATAACTTAGGTATCTCTATCAGGCCTCTGCATTGTATCAAGAGATCAATTTATTATTGGGTTGTGAATTCTTCCAGAGTAGGGGCTCAGCTTTTACTCAATCTTACAAAAAATTCTGACACTAAACTCAACAAATGTTGTCTGGATAAAATAAAATGATTAGTAAGGCCAGTTCTGTTGCCCAATACCTACACAGTCTTTTGGAGCTTGGTCAAGCTTTTTCATCCATCTGCTTCCACAAAAGCCTGCTTCCTTGTGGAGGCAGCTTTGTCCCTGGGCTTAGCTCTCCTACTATGCTGCACTTCAATATTTATTTATTTACTTATTTATTTATAGTACTGGCCATGGAACCCAGGGCCTCACACATGTTAGACAAGTACATTCCCACTGAGCTACAGCTGACCTTGAACTTGTGATTCTCCTGTATCAGCCTCTTAAGTGGCTGATATGACAGGTGTGCACCACTGTACCTGGCCACTGAACTTCAATTTAAATAAGCACTTGATGTGTGAGTGTTGTATCCATAGTAGCCATGAAACATCATCACTTTAGAGGTAAGGGATGAAGGCATAAGATGTACAGCATTAGTCAGGCTCAGAATGGAATAGTCTGTCTATACCATGATCCCAATTTTAAGACAGAAACAGAAATGGAAACCATATAGGAAGTACTATCAACAATTAAAGGATTGCTTGTGCTGGATGAAACATTCTTTATTATTTTCAATCTCAGATTTAAATATCAGGAGATATTTAAAACATAAAAGATAGAGTAATACTTTATTGATATTCAGTATTTATATTTAAGCTGTGACTTTATACATTTTGTCACCTGAAACCACCTTTATACATATTTGTTTAAAAAAGTTAAAACTTGCTGACTTGGTTAGCCCTTTATTTTTTTGCTGAGACTTAAAAGTATGTTGCACACATCCATCAAACCACTCTATGAAATGCAAATTAATCTCTGCATTTCAGCATTTCCTGAATCACCAAATACCACTGAAGATAGATAAAATATTTCTTCTGAGACTTTTCCTTATTTCAAATTTCTAGTTGTGAGGATGGAAAGTAAGTTAGTGGCTTACCGCAAAATCAATAATTTTGTAGTTATTGTATGTAGAGCATAATTTACTGATTCCCCCCCTACTTCCAGGAGAATCAAGACATGCACATATACATATGTGTGTCTATTACTATGTGTTACTGTGTTTCTTTGGCTAACCAGATAATATTTAACCTTTTAAAAATAGAGAAAATCATGGGCTGGGGATGTGGCTCAAGCGGTAGCACGCTCGCCCGGCATGCGTGCGGCCCGGGTTGGATCCTCAGGCCCGGGTTTGATCGAGGTTCGATCCTCAGCACCACATACAAACAAAGATGTTGTGTCTGCCGAAAAACTAAAAAATAAATATTAAAAAAAATTCTCTCAAAAAAAAATAAATAAAAATAAAAATAGAGAAAATCAGGGGCTGGGTTGTGGCTCAGTGGTAGAGTGCTCGCCTAGCACGTGTGAGGCCCTGGGTTCGATCCTCAGCACTACATATAAAATAAATAAGTAAAATAAAGGTATTGTGTCAACTACAACTTAAAAATAGAGAAAATAAAACCAAAAAGTGGAACTCCCCACCAAATGTCCATTAAGTAATGAATATATAAACAGAATGTGGGCAAATTCATGTAATGGAATAATATTGAATCATAAAAAAGGAATGAAGCACTAGTACATACCTCAACATGGATGAATCTCAAAAATGTCACACTAAGTGGAAGAAACCAGACATAAAGGGGCACATATTGTATAATTCCATTTATATGAAATGTTCAGAATAAGCAAATTTATAGAGGCAGAAAGTAGATTAGTGTTGCCAGAGGGGGTGGGAAGTGACGGCTGGTGGTTACAGGGTTTCTTTTGGGGATGATGAAATGTTCTGGAATTGGGGTGACAGTTGTACACCTTTGTAAATATACTGAAAGCTATTAAATTGTTTGATTTAAAAAGCTGAATTTTATAGTATGTGAATTGTATCCCAAATTAAAAAAATAAACATAGCCAATCACAAAAGCAACTGAGGCTCTAGGGATTTTTAGGTTATTCACTGAACTTTGACAAGTATCAATTTCTAAAATGAGGATTAGATGTTCTCTTTTGTCCTTCTAGCTTTAAATACTATAGATTCAATTTGGATTTTTTTAACTTGGGAATTTCTCATAGTAAGTGATTTGCCCATTGTCTGAAATATAGAAGTGCAAGTAATGATGGCCTACATCTGTCCTTGGGCAAATACTGCCTAACATTAAGTATGTTGCTTAATCTAAGTTTTAGGGTTTTTTTTTTTTTTTTAAGGAGTAAATATTTCTCTTCAGAAATAAGGAGGAAATCCAACTCCTTGATAAAACCAAAGATGCCATCAGGATAAAAAGCAGAAGTAGTACACACCAACGGAATTCAGTTGGCCAGCTCCCTATACCATAAAATAGGCTTTATCTAAAACAAGAGTTTCCTCTCACTGTACAAGGGCAGTTTAAAAACTCATGGTTTCTACTCCATTATTCCTGAGTTTCACATTTATTTCTTTCATATTTTTGTAATCTTTCTGCTTTAGGTTGTTCAAATTATTCAACTGCAGCTACTTCTGTCAAACACCAAATCCCATGAGGGGATCTGTACCTTTTTTCCCATAATCCAATAAAACATCTTTACCCCAAGTCAGAGACCAGGCTGATAGTTAACTGGATAGGACAAGGACAACTTCAGAGATGCCATATAAAAAAAATTTCAGCTGTTTCAACCAAAGAATAAAAAAGGAAATGCAGCCATAATTGACATGTAGAAAGACGTCTAGTGTTCACCAGTAGACATCTAATTCAAATCACTGAATAAAATAGGAAATCCCCAAATCCAAATATAAACATCACAATAAATCATATGAGCAGGCAAAAATGTGACTTATGGGCCCTATGCAAAGAAAATCCTTGTGGTTTTAACCAACTCTTCCCTAGCCACTCCCCAATTGCCATTTCAGTTAGTTGACAACTCCATTCTTCATCAACCTGTTAGGAAATCCTGTTAGCTCTGCCTTTTATACACACACACACACACACACACATCTCATCAATTTTACCACGACCAAGACACAATTTTCTTTGGTTTGAATTCTTGCAATGGTACTCTCCAATTTCTAATCTTGCCCCAAATACAATCTATTCTCAATGATGAGTTACAGTGATTCTTTTCAAATGAGATGTCTAATGATGTCAACTCTCTGGATTTAAAACCCCCTAGAGATTTCACTGAGAGTAAAAGCCAAAATGAGGTCTGATAGGATCTGGTTTCCCATTTCCTCTCTGGCTTCATGTTCCATTACTCATTCTGTTCCAGTCATATAGGACTGTTTACACTTTAAATTTGAGCCCCAGGGCCTTTGCACTTGCTATTCCCTAGTTATCTACAGGGCTCACTCCTCATGCCCTTAAGCCTATATTAAAGTGTTTTTTTTGTTGAAGTCTTCCCTGACTCACTCTCCCTGCTCATTACTTCATTTTTCTCAATAGCACTTATTACCTTCCAACCTTATAATTTATAGTTTGCTTACTTTATTCATAATCTGTTCCCATCCAAAGACAAACTCCATGAGGGCAGGGTGTTTGGGGAATTTTATTTACTATCACATCCCACCACCTAAAAGGGCAGATACTCACAAAATGTGTGCAGCGTGAGCATTGTGGAACTCACCAGTGTCGCCCAGGTCAGAGCTCTGAAGAAATGTACGGCAGCGCTCCTTGTGCTCCTCAAGGGAACTTCTCTGCTTGTAACTCCTACCGCAAAACTCACATTTGTAGGGTTTCTCCACTGAAAGGAGAGCACAAGGGCAATCAGCGACCTTCAGGAGTCTCCGAGGCTCCCTAAAGATGGCAGACTACAAGAGCTTCACCAGAAAATGAGAGTGCTAAGCGGAGCCAGTGTACTGGGGTGCTTTTGAATCTATATTAGTTTTACATTCAGCAAGCTGTAATAGGCTATGGACTATGGTTGATTCTTATGTCAAAGTACTCTTCAAAAAGATCCTCTCCTGTCTCAGAAAAAAGGATTTGGATTTAATAATCACCATTGAGCATAGTGTTTGGCTCCAGGTTAAATCTCCTTCTTCTTGTTTGACAAAAATAGGGCTCTTTTATTCCTCAAGAAGGTTAGTGTGGTGTAAGAAGGAAACGGGAAGGGGTCCCTTATTTTGTGATGTCCATTTGGCTCTAAGTATAGACTGTGATAGCTTTTGGGAGTTAGCCATTCGGCTAGAAACTCTAGAACATCAACATGTTTGGATAAATTTATCTCACCCTTGTCAAGTGGCACAGCAAAGTCTGGGTTAACCAATACAAACTGAACTAATTAACTAAGGATAATTTTAATTAATAGAATTAAGTTTTATTGTAACAATGACCTCATTTAAATTTTTAAGATAAAGCATAAGTTTCCTCAAAAGTTCACCTACCATATAATTTAGGTAAATTTATCCTTTCAACTCCCCCCAAATACTTTATTGCTTGACATATATAAGTAATAAACTCTCTGCACAAGCCTGGCTTTTCTGACTTGTTGATAAAATGTACCTGAAGAATTTTTCAGTTTTAGGGACTGAAATTTTAATTTTCTTTCCATTTGTGGTGTTGGGGCTTGAACTCAGGAATTCATGTATGCTAGGTAAGTGCTCTACCTCTGACTTACACCCCAGCCCTAAAATTTATATTTATATTTTTATTTTTTAAATATTTATTTTTTAGTTATAGGTGGACACAACATCTTTATTTTATTTTTATGTGGTGCTGAGGATCAGACCCAGTGCCTCATGCATGCTAGGTGAGTGCTCTACCTTTGAGCCACAACCCCAGCCCCCTAAAATTTTTATTTTTTAACTCTTTTTCCTCTGCTTAAAGCAGAGGCATTAGAATTTAAAGTGCTATAAGATTTTTATGAAATCCCAGACTAAAATAAAATGCAGGTTTGCTAAAGCTAAAAAGTTAAGCTCTAAAATCTGTCTTACAAATGCCTTATTATTATTATTTCTTTTATGTAAAAGGCAACAGAAAACAACTTTTCTAAATTTTGAATGAACCTCACCCTTAGTGCACTACTTTGAAAAATGAGCTGTAAAAGAAAGAAACCTTCCCTGCCACTTATGATCTCTCAGGAGGGGTTTTGTTGGGTTGACTTGTTTAATCTTAGTCTCTCAATTGTGACAAGTTTTGAGGTCGGGGCTGGGTTTTAGTCGAAGCAGTAGATTCAGATTGACATAAAAACAACCCTTTTTTTTTTCAATTAAAATTTGTCAGATAACATCAAGAACATCAGGTCCCAAATTTGAAAATAAACCTAGTTTTATTTTTCTAAGAAGGAAATTCTAAAGGTTGAAAAAATGTATTGTTCTGCGTGGTCAAAATAAGGAGTAAAAATATTTAAGAGAGCAGATGGCTTTTTATGAATTTTTATTGCTGCCCATCTCTTAGAAATTAGAAATAAGTAGGCTGAATGATGGGAAAGTTGGGTGTAAGAAACTTAGCCAAGAATGGCCAAAAAGGATCCCTCAACAATGATTGACACTTGGTTTACAGGTTTTATTTTTTTCTTTAAAAATTTTTTAAAATACTTTTAAAACTATACATTCATTTGTCCAGTTTTCTGAAGGGAATGTGTGTATGTTTGTGTGTGTGTGTGTGTGTGTTTATGTGTGAGGAAAATAATCTTTTAATAAAGTTTACCATAAGAAAATAATGATGGTTCTAAATTTCTTATAGAAATTAAGGCATTTTTCCAGGGCAGGCTCTTCCTGTCTGACTGTTGTTCTCCAGGGGTGTAAGGATGTTGAGGAGATCATCTCTACTGAGGCAGACGGAGAGCAATTAATGCCTTAATGGAAGTGCAATTAGCCCTAGAGGTCTGCTGTTGTAACCCTTCAGAACTGGAATGACAGATTAAAAGTCTCCACACTTAACTCTTTCTAACTTCCACAGTTACTAGACATGGAATGTTCATTTCCCTCACTTACCAGAATGTGTCCTAAGATGCCCCGTGAGCGCATCTCTTCTTTGGCATGCGTAGTTGCAGAGGTGACACTTAAAAGGTTTTTCCCCTGTGTGCAGTTTAATGTGGCGGAGGAGGTTACCTTTCTGAGTAAAAGATGCCCCACACTGATTACACTGGAACGGGCGTTCACCTTTAAAGGGGACAAAAAAAAAATTCTGCTCACCAGGCAAATGGAAAAGCACATGCACATATTAGATGCCTATGGCAAAAACTCATCTTCTAGACAGTTCTGTTCACACTGGGATCACTTGGGAGCTGCATTTCCAGACAAACAAGATTACTTATGAAATCTTCCCTCCGGAAGAAATGAAGCACCCATTTAGGATGGTATTGTCTTGTCTTGAATCAGAGCAAAGAGACAAGGGTAGCTTGCAGAGTTTTCTAGATGTAAATGTTTATATTACTTAGCATTCCTTTTAATATAATTTCCTTTGAAATAAGACAGACGCAAGCCCCAATAAGGTGTTAAGGATCGAGAGGCTCTTTTTTGGAGTATTCATATCAGATGTCAGATGGGATCTATTGGCTCAATGGGACTGTCATTTGCAAGCTTTCCTATAGACTGCCTGTTTACTATCTGAAGATACAGTCTTTATAAAAACTTGTAATAAAAACCGTGTCCTGGGCTGGGGTTGTGGCTCAGTGGTAGAATGCTTGCCTAGCACGTGTGGGGCACTGGGTTCAATCCTCAGCACCACATAAAAAATAAATAAATAGGAGCTGGGGTTGTAGCTCAGTTGTTGAGCGCTTGTCTAGCATGCATGAGGCACTGGGTTTGATCCTTAGCACATAAAAAAGAAATAAAAATAAAGATATTGTGTCCATCTACAAGTAAAAAAATTTTAAATAAATAAATAAAGTTTTAAAAAAAAGCTATGTCCTTTTATCTACCACATTAAACCCAAAACAGTAAGGAGATCTGCTTTTACCGAAGTATTATGCAAAAATATACAGATATCATCTAAGAAGCAAATCACACAATTCAACTCCTTACTTACTAATGGAAGAAAAAGCATTTGGTTGGCCTAGAACACTGTGCTCTCTATAGGCTTGTTTTTTTCTTCTTTTTGTAGCATTTACAATATGTTTGCCAAATGCACAATGAAGCAGGAGGGAGAGATACATCAAAATTATAGCAAAGATCACTGGAAGTAATCCAAAGCCCCAAATCCTACCACTTCATTCCTTGAGCGGCTGTGTTAGGACAGTTTTCAGAATTATGGAAAAAAGAGACTATTTACCAGTATGGCTCCTCTTGTGAACCATTAAGACATTGAAGCTAATGCAGGATAATCCACACACATCGCAGTTCATCTTTCCACTGGTTGGCCTGCCACTATCATACGAGACAACATGTCTCTCCAGCTTAATATTTTCATACTCATTATATTCTCTTGCATAGCTATAAGGAATTTCAGGCTCTTCTGCATTTCCCAAGGGCTCTGTCTTTAAAACATTCTCATCTCTTTCACTGTATTCATCTTTCTCTTTCATCGAATCATCTGCAGGGGAGAAAATGCAAGACATGAACAATGACTGCATTTGAAGCTATGAAAGCAGTTCAGAAAGCAGAGACCCACAACTGACAATTAAATACCAAAAGGAGCTAACATAACATTGTACATCTACAAATGCCATTAAGATGATTACTCATTATTTCAATTCAAAACCACAATCTTTGGAAAACACAAATACTCACACACATAAAAATAGATGACAGTGTTTTAGCTATCCAGAAAATTAGAAATAATAAGTTTTTGCCATAACTGCTCTAAGGGACCATGAAATGAACATTTTGAGCAACCTGTCTCCAATACTAGGGGAGAAGAAAAGCTCTGAGATCTAGTACCTTTTTTGGTGGTGGCTGTAGTTAAAAAGGAATGGTGATGTGCTCTTAGGTTTCAAGGAGAAAATATCATTTTAATCCTTTAAACAAATCCAATTTATGAGATGTGAGCCACTATGAGAACTAAATAGTTAGCACCGTTTTTTTCTAATTTTGAGCCACACATCCCTTTCCATGCATATGAACTGCCAAAACACATTTTATCTCCTTATCTCTCTTGGGACTGATAAAGACACAAAACTAAGAGTAAAGGAAGCTGTCAGTGCTAGTGAAATAGTGTTGAGAAAGATAAAAGGAGAAGTAATTCTTAAGTACAACCTAAGGAGCCACTTCTATTGACATAAGTATACGAGATCATTCTAAGCAAAGGAAGGGACACCCAGACCCAAGGCAAGAAGGAATAGGCCTAAGAACTGGAGAGGAGAGGAGGGTCTGGCTCCAGTGAGCTGGGTGAACAAGTACCATCTTAAAAAGGGCTGTCACACTCTTAAAGTGAAGAACGTAGGAAACAGAGAAGGGAAATTTATGTGCCAGCACCAACTAAACCTAAATATTTGCCTGACAAGATAACAGGTGTTTTTAAGGGATTTTTCATGTATAAAAGTATGCTATAGAAATACTTTCTGCTTTAAACATTGCTTCTTGGAAATTGGAAGTTGTACTTCCCTGTGAGGAATCACAAGTCAATGGAATTTAAGGCTAACAGGGAAATTAGAGATCAACTAATCCGACCCTCTTGTTTCTCAGATGAGGACATCTGGGAGTAGAGGTTTCCAGAGATCTGTCTGAGCTCACACAGCCAGGTAGTAGCAGATATGTGACTGAAATGTGAAACTTAATCCAGACCTATCAATTACTTGGATATGACCTCACACACTAGATATAAAAGGTCTAAGTGGCATCCTACCAACTATGCCATGCCCTCCCTTCACTGGAGTAGATGTTAAACCCAAACACTCTGAAAAAAAAAAAAGATATTTTTAAAAAGCACACTCCTTCCAAAACACATCAGTAAGTGTTGCTCCTGTTGCCCCACAGGAGGAAGTACAGCTGCAGCTGGGCCTGGCTTGCTACCTTCTACCCAAGTTTCAATTTTCACTTCTATCAAGGTTACCTTTCATCTATATTAACTGTGTTTGCTTAATAGAGCAAGACAGGGCTTAACCCCCACCAGCAGAGCCCTGGCTGCAGCCCTGTTTCACTGCTTACCACAGTCCACGGTTCACAGCTCTCGCTCTTTGGCAGAGGCAGGGCTGCAGGATAAGCTTGCCATGTTCCACATTTGCCTGTCCTATGATCTGGGTTGCATATGAATTGAAACCTATGTCCTGCTTGGAAAGGGGTTCATTTTCTTCTTCCTCTGGATGGGTCTTGCCTGCTTTCAGATGGAGTGTTTCCTTAAGTGGTTTTGTTTTAAAAAATTTTTTTTTGAAGAGAAGGATGCACCTGAGGCTTGTACCCTCCTTTCTTCCTCCATCACTCCAGCTGTGGGTGATATCCCACCAAAGCTTGAATGCTCTTCAGTTTGCATGTAGGCGTTTAAAAGAACCTCAACGGAAAACTTTAGCTACTGAAAACCATAAACAGCAGAGTGAAAGGGCCAGCAGAGAAGGATCCTTTTCATCTTGGTTAGAAAATGTAAATATGACTACTCTCAGGCCACCCCATGGTCAGTGAACATTAAAAAATAGCAAGATCAAGGGGTGGTCTTTCTAAAAACAGAACAGAAGAGAGCTGCTCCTTTTCTCAGGGTTTTGGTCAGCCTGGCCTGGAACTCAATACTACTTCAACTTGGTTCAAGGTCAGACCTTAGATTTATGTCCTTTATGACTTAGCTGTGGAGCAAGAAAGACAGTATTTGAGACTAGGACCTGTCATAGGGAAAGCATAAGAGTCATATGGACAAGCCATTAATTAGGGAAGTCCTTTGGAGTACTGGACCAAAAAAGTTCCTGGTATAATTGCTCCTTGACCAGTTTTAGATAAATGACCTGCATGACCTCTCTATAGGTGAAGATAAACAACTGCATGTTAGAACAAATTAGAATCTAAGGTATGAATAGGATTTCTGAGAGATTACTGGGCTTAGCATTCAGACTCCAAATATATCCACTGAAACATCCAGGAAAGACACTAGACTGCTCTAATGAAGAGATTCACTCCATTCCTTGAGAGGAAGACTTGTTAGAGTAAAGGAAAGGAGGAAACTCTACTTAGTTTTCCTAGAAAATGCTGATAAACATGTCTAAAGTCAAACTTGTTATCTTTGACTCCAAACTTCCTTCTGACTTGTGACTGACTTATTTTTACAAATGGCATCTCCCCTCTTTCAGTCTTCAAACTATGGAATCCTTTCCTTTTCCCTCTTTACATCAAGTTTGTCTTAAGATCTGTCAACTCCATATCTTCAGGCTCCCTAGGTGCCACCTCCTCTTTTCATTCTGTTTGCAATTTAGTTTTTAGCCTTCCATCACATCATGCCCAAACATACCCTCTCTCAACATTTTTTTCTTTCTTTAAAAAATGTTTTTTAAAGTTGTGGGTGGACACAATACCTTTATTTTATTTATTTTTTATGTGGTGATGAGGATCAAATCCAGTTTCTCACACATGCTAGGCAAGCACTCTACCACTGAGCCACAACCCCAACCCTCAACATTCCTTTCTAGTCAGATTTACTACGAGGTTATTTATGCTTACTGCCTCTATGGCCTCAAAACTGACAAAATCCCCTGGAATCTGGCTTCTGCCACCATAATTCACTGAATCTGCTTCCCTGAAGATTACCGATAATCTCCTGATTTCTAAATCCAGAGCCTTTTTCTATGCTATTCCTCCTGACTTCTTGGTAGTCCTTGACACCACTGGCCACAATTCCTTGTTCTTCTATATTTCAATTTCTTCAATGAAATCGTACCTCCCCTTGCTTCCTGATTGCTTCTTTCTACCTCTTTTTCCTCCCTCTGCCTCCTACCTATTTCTGTTATCCTCTGTTTTCTTCCCTCTATACACCTCTCCTATGGTGATTTCATCCATTCATAAAGCTCCAACTAGCATCTTTTTAATTTTTTTTAGTTGTAGATGCACACAAAACCTTTACTTTATTAATTTTTATGTGGTGCTGACGATTGAACCCAGTTCCTCACATGTGCCAACCTAGTACTCTACCACTGAGCCATAACTCTAACCCTCCAATGAACATCTTAAATAATTAGTTCCCCAATATATATCTCTGGGTGTAAACTCTCCCTGTCTTCAGTCTTCTATTTCCACATTCTTCCAATGTTATCTTCCCAGTTTTTCAGACTACAATTCTTAGAGTCATCCTTCTTTTTTCTTGTTTGCACCCCATTTTCAATCACTCATTGGTTCTCTTTGTACCCAATCTTCAATCTGTGCCCCATTCACTATTCCCTGTGCCCATTGTCATAATTCTCAGACCCTCTTGCCTTTCCCACAACCCATGGTCTCCACATTGTTCTCCTTTCTCCTTTCCAGATCACCTTGTATATTACCACAAGGTTGCCCTTCCTAAACTATAGCTCTGGTCATATTCTCACCCTGTCAAAATTTAACAAATTTTAACCAAACTAAACAACTTCTAAGTATTCTTCGTTTTGCTTATATCATTTTTCACTGCCTAAAGGTCTTTCCCTAACATTGCCATAGGTCCGAGTCCCACACATCTTCTAAGGCCAAACTCTCTCCCTTCTAAGTATGACTTCTCCAATCTTCCCATCTGGAAAACAACAGGTTTCTTCTTCTTTTAAGTTTACTTATAAAACTACTTCATCTCCCCTATGGACATGTAAGCTTGCTGAGGGCAGAAGCTATGTAAGCCATGTACAGGTACCTCAGTATTCCCTATGACTTTGCTTAACCTGTACCTATTGAAAGCAGTGGTTGCTTGATATGGTGGTATGGTAGTCCCAGTTACTTGGGAGGCTGAGTCTGGAGGATCACTTGAGCTAGGAGTTTGAGGTCAGCCTGGGTAACATAGTGAGACACCCAACTCAAAACAAACACGTAAATAAACAAAAGACCAGAGGTTGTATGGTTTTAAAACAGAAATTTTAGGGCTTCTACCATAGATCTATAAATCTGAGTGAGGGAACTGGAAGTATGCATTTCAAAACATGTTTTCTAGGTAAATATGTATACAAAGGAGTTTGAGAACTGCTGTTATGGAGTTTGACCCAATGCCCTGATAAAGTAGACATCCAATAAATTCTTGGTACCTAAATATACTATTACATTAGCCTCCTAGCTGGCCTACAGTATATGTGACCTCTGTTATGCTGTATCCTATTTGCCAGATTAATTGTCCTGTGGCAATGAAACCCTTCTTAGAAACTTTCAATGATTTCATTTGAGAGAGAGAGAGAGAGAATTTTAATATTTATTTATTTTTTTTAGTTTTCGGCAGACACAACATCTCTGTTTGTATGTGGTGCTGAGGATCGAACCTGGGCTGCACTCATGCCAGGCGAGCGCACTACCGCTTGAGCCACATCCCCAGGCGATTTCATCTAGTTTACAGAATGAAGTCCAAACTCCTTAGCAAGGCTAGTCCAGAACCTGCCTCACACCTACCTGATCATCTCATTACACTTGAACTTTGCTACTCAGAGTAAAGTTCTTGGATCCAGCATCCTT